CACCCAGGCGTCCCTTACTTTGTCATTTTTAAAATTTTCACGAAAGTACTATGAAAAATCTCTGACTCCATATTCTGATGTTTCATTTAAACAGTAGATAGAACTGTTCATTTTAATTTTCTGGTTTACATTATCAGTCCAGCTCCATGAATTACAGTGTATTATTCAGAATCTTCATCTTCTGTATTTCTTCTCATACGATGGTCTTTGAATTCAGTATTTGATAATACTTAGACTCAGTCTTATCATTTGGTTTTATTTTTTATTGGGCTGTTACAGGGAATCTTAAACAGAATTCACATATCATTCTACACTCCTAAGTATTTTACTGATACGTAAGAGCAGTTCTCAGACAAATATATGGTTGGCTGAATCATCTTTGAATAATTATAGCACACAAGATAGTAAACTTTATTTTCATTATCCCAAGTCCAAGGGTAAGTATTTGCAACTGCAAGTGACAGTTGACATTTAGAGAAGAGTGGGTAGGGAGTATGGATGTCAGCACCAACCTTCTCTCATCTAGCGTGACCTAAAAGGCCATCAGCCAAAGAGAAAGCATAAGAGAGAAGATAATCGTCCAAATAGCAAAGGAATGGCTCGGGGGCTCATAAGAAGCATATTGTTGTCTAAGTAGAACTAAAACCACCTTTGCTTACATGTGATAAGTTCCCTACTAGATTTTGGAAATGATAGTTTCTATGTGTTCTACAGAGAAAGAGATCAAATATATCATTACATCATAATATCAAATTTTGCATTTGTAGACAGAAATAAGCATTTTACCATGTCATGTTAATAGCTTACAGATCGTTGCTAATGGTTTGGGAGGGCAGTCTTTTGGAGAATGACATAGCAGGACTTGAAAATGATGAAAAGCCGATTCCGACATCCTAACAGCCAGGGCCCCCTTTACGTCTGCAAGGCAACAAAGCAGCTTATCCCAGTTTTACACAATAAAAAAAAAAAAAAACAACCTTTCAAATAGTTGTTATTCACATGGAGGTGTATTGGAATAAAGGTCAGAAACTCAGCAATCGCTGTGCCAGATCTGAGGTGACTGTAAGCTGAGTTTTGTACACCATTATGTTGTCGAAGTCACGGCAGGGCGTCGGCTCTACCCACATGCTGGCCACCAGAGGTCTTGGCCATGCTTGTGTGCGCAGACGCAGAGATGGGGGGCTGCCAGCTCCTTTTCCTTTTACCAGGCATGAAGTACACGTTAGAGAGTATGCTTTCGTCCTTCTGAAACTTGACAAGTCTCATGTTGACCTGGTGGGAAGGAAAGCTTCCATTCTTCCAGAGGACTCACAGAGGCATGGTGCTGAGTGTCTCTGGAACCAGAGACCCCCAGGTCTGCCATATCTCTACCGTCTCTCCATCTCCCCACCCCACTGCGCTCATGGGGACATTACACGTCCGCTCTTCCTCACTTCATTCAGTAGGTGACTGCCTTTTGCAGATTTCTCCCCAGCACAGGTTTTTATTCCAGGAGACGAAGGGAAAGCTGGCTGACCGTGAACCAAAACATTTACGCAAATCTTCACTTATAATGTTGTGATTCAGCGGTTTCATTTTCCTTTCTCAAATATCACTTTTTGAGGATGGCTCAGGAAAAAAGAAATCATGATAATGCCCACGTGGCTGTAGGTACCACCGGAAATGAGAGGACACTGCTGCTGCCCTGACACAGGTCAAGGCTATGCATTTAAGATGAAGTCTCTCCTTTTCTTTAAACCTAATGTGTTTGGGAGAAACAGCCCAAGCAGCAGCATCTTGAAACACTTGTTTGATTTCATTTTCACAGTGCCACCTTTGGCCTCATTCACACAGTCACAAGGCCTGAACATGTACAACCTGCTTCATCTTGGACATTTTACACATTGTCAAGACATTCGCCAGAGAGAAAGAAGATGTGCCCACTTTTTAAAACTTCAGTAAGAAAATGAGAACGAACCGATGCAGTCAAAATTAAAACGATCTCTAACAGTGCGAATACTTGGTGGTTTCAGAGTAGGGCAGTGAAATGAAATTTGCCTATCTGTCATTTAAAATTTAGAAGTATTCTGGAAATGATATTAAATCTGAAATATTGGGAGGAGAATATTTAAAGGAGAAGGTATTTAATTGTGAAGTGTCAGGCAATGACAGCAACTTTTTGTTCATTTCTCCCATTCTTCCAAGACCACCTGGAAGATGAGATGCTTTCCCCAAATCTTCTGAGCCCCATTTCCTATAAACCTTTCCATAGACAGTGGAGGCTCACAAGGCCCCTTTTGTCTGAAAGTAGAAGATCTTCTGGATGTGTAAGGTATTCTTGCAATATTCACAATGTAAAGAGATGCCTTTGTTTTAACAAGTGCTCTGGCAGCCAGCTGTGAGCTCGGCCACTGAATTGCTGATTCCCGAGTGGCACTGTCTGTGCCTCCAGCCCACCCCCAGAAAATGATAGATTTGGGTAGCGAAGGTGACTTTAGAAAAATCAGCCATTTCCGGTTGAACCTATGACCTGCACTTATCATACTTTGAAAGCTCCTCTAGATTTTTCTAAGCATTCTGAAAGAACTATCCGTCTACTGGGACTTTACGTGGGATGGCCTTTTATAATTTTCTAAGTATGCTTATGGAAATGTTATCACATCCTAGCTCAGGACTTCTTGGTGAGGTGGGAAAGGTGAGTATTATTGTACCAACGGGAAAACTGAAATGTCCAGACTAAACAGCGAGCTTGACCAGAGTAAGTGGCAGATAGGAGCTAATGACATAACTCTGCGTCATTTTTCTCTTCCCACCACAGTTGATAAAACTAAGAACACAGTTCAGGTGTGGGGTCTAGTCCCTAGTCTGTCGCTGTCTAGCTGTGTCTCCTTAGTAAATCATGTCTTTGTGGCTCAGTTTCCTCATCTACGAAGTGAGACTAATAATTCTCGCTTTACCTGCTCTACCAAGTAGCTATGAGGAACACACACTGCATGATCCCTCTTCACCTAGGAAAATTGGATGTAAAATCCTTACTACTCAAATGACAGGAACATTGAGACCGGATGGTATAAGGAGTGAGGATGGGCAGAAACCCAAAGTCCTGGCTTATCTTCTAATGAGATGTTTCTTTTGTCAGATCAGTTAGCTTCTTTGCCTCTCAGTTTCCTCAGCTAGACTTAGGAGGTCTTTCCAGAACACTAGGAATATTTCTTCCTATTCATTCAGCCCCTAAGGTTTCCATCCTAGGTTTCTTTCCTAATCATCATGCTGCCTCCGAGACTCTATTTTCCCTAAAGATGAATGGCTAGGACATTTACATGCTATAAAAAGGCAAGGGATTGCCAAATCAGTGTGACACCTTTGAGTCCCACTGTGGCGCTCTCTCTCTCTTTTTAAGGATCATTAGGAGCCTGTAGCAGCCTAATGGAATTAAAATCACCAAGCAAAGTATAATGAGGAGTAGGAATCAAATTATTTTAGGAACTACTAAGACACTGTATGTGGCCTACTCAGAGGAACTCACTAAGATCATTAGCCTGCATGACGCCCAGCAGGAACAATCTTCTCAGAAGTGTCCCCTCCTTCCCAGGGATCATTAATGCTGTTCAGCTCTGGCCACAGTGGCCAATGTCAGCCCCTCAAAGAATCAGCCACTTAGTTAGATCTGGAGTACAGAAGGGAAAGGCAAGTTTTCAAGATAAAATGCAGGGCAGAGTTTAGGAAAAGGGAAAGCCAGGGGCAGAGTGGATCTTTTCACATTAGCATTTCACTATATATCTGACACGAGGAGGTTTAGAAACTTAAAGACAAAGGAATCTAATGCCACAGAGAGCTAGGAAGAGCATCTTCTCTGGGCGTGAGGAGTCATCTGCCCGGAGGGATCACCGCATTCCTCGCCCCCACGTGGACTTTGCGGGCTGGTGGCCGAGGCAGAAACTGGCCGCAACTTTTCTAATCACAGAGGAGAGGGTGTCTGAGACATGCTGCACCCACACTTGGAGCCTGGGGAGTCCTGCAGTTTCCTGCCTGTCAGTCTGCTTTGCTTCTGTGTTCCTCACAAGGACCACGTCAGGAGGGAGAACATGGTGAAGGGCATACTCTGCCTCCCGGCCGAGAGAACACCACTCCTTCTCCGCACCCAATAAACACACACACACACTACACTATAAACTCATTTTGTCCCAACCTTGACCATTCACAGAGTGCTCCCATGCCTCTTTTCTTGATAACACAGTGAGGGGAAGGGGCAGATGCTATATACATTTTACAGATGAGAAAAGTGAAGCTCACAAAACGAGAGGCAATTTGCCCAACTTCCCAAAGGTAAAAGGGAAATTCAGACCTCAAACTTAAGTCACTTGACAGCAAGTCTTGTACTTTCTGCCACTTGGAAGGAATCCAACCTTTTTTCTTCTCAGTTAATCTGAAGTTTTATTCAGTGCTAAAGTATGCACTAGAACATACACGGGTAGATTGCAAAGAAAAGAAATATGAAGAAATGGCCCCTCATTTCAAGGAGATGAATTTGTATAAACAAATCAGAAAATTATAAATATTCAACAAAAAGCAAACTTACATGCACGGCGTGATTCTCCAAAGCGTGGTAGAGATAAATCCTGGCCGGGAAGGTGCTAGTGGGCTGGAGGTGTGCAGAATTAATTTTCTGGAGAAGGGAGGTTTGGCACTGACTTTCTGGGTCCTATTCTCAGAGCATCCACTTGGAGCATCTGTTGAAATCACAGCAGATGGAACACATCAGAAATGTATTTTCCTTTTTGTTTATTTTAGTTCCTTGGAGAATCCCGGTACCTAGGGTACTGTGGAGGTAAAATGAAATAAAAGTTTATTTTTATATCATCATTTGCAGTATCATGACATAAACATTACCTGTTCCTGGAGAAGTAATTTCATTTCCTTCCCTTCTTGAAGGGAAAACTAGAAATAAGGCTGAAATGTGATATTTTCTGAATAACGCATTCAGTTGATCTCTTATGTTGTTTGTCTGTTTGTTTTTGCAGTGCCAATGGACACTTGATCCCGTGGCTGCCTCTCTTTGAAAAGCAAGACGTTTTGTTGTGCTGATCTAGCTGCCTGCAATCTTTGCTGATGCTCTCATAAAAAACCAACATGCTGATTCTGTCGATGTTAACCCCTGTGTGAAACGGACTTTTAACACACCTGTGCGTTCCCTGGCCCTCCATGAAAGATGTCTGAACCTGACTCTTCATCTGTATTTTCCGGTAACGTGGAGAATGGAACTTTCCTTGAGCTCTTTCCTACATCCCTGTCCACATCGGTGGACCCTTCCTCGGGCCACCTGTCAAATGTATACATCTACGTGTCCATATTCCTCAGCCTTTTAGCATTTCTGCTGCTGCTTTTAATCATTGCTCTCCAGAGGCTCAAAAATATCATTTCCTCCAGTTCCTCCTACCCAGAGTACCCGAGCGATGCTGGTAGTTCTTTTACCAATCTGGAAGTCTGTAGTATTTCCTCTCAAAGGTCCACTTTCTCAAACCTTTCCTCATGAAGAAAACAGAAGAATTCCTGAAGGCTGCAGCAGCCTTGGTTTTCCCTTGCGGGAAGTGTCGCATAAAGTAGTTGCCTCGTGAAAGAAATAGCCCCTTTCTTTTCCAGCCGATGAGACCTGTCTCTCCTCCTTCACCCCTCACTTCTCCTTCCACTCATGATGCTTTTCATTTGTGAATGTAGGCGTTGATGCTGACTCAGAGAAATGTGTGCAAACCTTGAGGGGCAGAATTTCACAAAAACCACCTGACAAATCCGGAGCGGACTTCTTCAAGGTGGATCGGTCATTTCACTCTGCCGGACACCGGAGGCGGAAATCACGTGAGGCGGCCTCACAGTGAGTGCTGGATATGGACTCTTGCACTTCATTTCTCTCACAAAACCGTGAAACCAACGGAGCCAGCAGGAAATGGCAAAATTAAGTCCGAGCTATTTGGAAGACCTATTCCATATTTAAAAGATAAAGTGGAAACATCAAATTAAAAAAAAAGAATCCATTTAGATTTAATGTATAACATTCCTAAAACCGGAGGCAAAATACGCTAAATGTCTTATTTTCACTTTAACAAATGAAAATCACATTTAATGATGAATTAAGTCATTATGGAAAAGTTTTGGAAGAGTTTAGCTTTTACTAGCAAGACAAAGATGTGTCACGATGCAGTCTGTAATGTAGTTTTGCCTCTTGGTTTTTTGGTTTTTTTCTACTTATGTTATAGTTCATAATACACCGACTGTTCTACAAGAGTAGAATTCTTTGTGATAATTGCTGTTACTAAGAGAAACACCCTAAGAGACACTACGAAGTTTTTATTTCATAGCTATACTTTCCACTAGTGGAAATTAAGCATATGGAAAAATATTCATTTAGTTCTGTTTTCTGCAGTAGTAACTCCTAGCAGTCATGTGAGCATGTTCCTTTATTCAGTTTCAGAGTCTTTATAATTTTAGTGCAGAATTTTGTTAAGGCTCCCAGATGTCAGATGTTTGTTCGCCCACATTAGATTGCAAAACTTAAGGAACTAAATTGTTATTTCACGTATTATTATATACTCCGTGAATGTTACATGTCTCTGATAATTAGTTGTTCCATGTTAACAAAACACTTTGCATTAGAACCCCAGGATGTGGGTTTTTATTAGAAATTATAGACATTCAAGTTATGTAGCTGCTGAGAACTTAGCGATCCCAGGAGCAGCCATACTGTGGTCACCCAGGCTCTGAACTTGGGGGCTTTGTCAGTGAAGTGTGGCTTACATGTGAGCACAGACTTAGAATATGGAAGAAATCAAGGTCCCCCTAAAAACAAAGCAAATAAACTACAGCTTCTTTAGAGTAAGAACTTTAATTTAAAAATTAAAAAATGGCCCACAGCATAAACACTGAACCTGGTCAGCCTATGGAGCCCACTGCATCAACATGCCCCATCTTCCCACGGCACCTGGATCGTTTCTTGTTCAAAACGTTTTCTAATCTTCAGTAGTGGAGCTTCAGTACACTCTTCGGATTGATTGTGCAGGTGACACTGTCTGGTAACTCGAATGGGATTAGGAATCCACCATTTTTACAAAGTAGATCTTGTCATTTCCAAAATGCTGAGACAGATGAGGACTAGTAATGAGGATCTGAAGGTTGCTTTTTTTTTTTTTTTAATCCACATGCTTCACTTAAATCAGACTACACTGAACTATTTGTATCAAAAGTGTTCCCAGACACCATAAGACCTGCACAGAGTTGCTGTCTTAAAATGTGTAACTCGTGAAAACTTTGCATCTGCTGCCATTTAAAGCATGGCAGTGCGCTTCAGTATTATCATGTAGGGTAACTGCTGGACTAGAAAAACTCCATTACTTTAGATCATTATCAGCGGTCTCTGTGTGTGGATGTGTGTGTGTGTGTGTGTGTGTGTGTGTTAATGCATATATATTTTTTCACACACTCCCAATTAAAAGTTGGGTGAAAGCTATAGGATTACAAGAGGCATCTGTGTTATCACTTTTGCTTTTTGATTAATTTTGTGCTATTTTAATTAAGTAGGAAGAAAGGATATGGATCAAGTGATTTAAAAAAAAATAAAGGAACAAGTTTGCCACACAATAGGATAATCTGAGTAGATCTGTTCTAAGGGGCAACTTTATATTCTTTCCTTCTGAAAGAGATACAAAGGCTTCTGAAGGTAAAACTGCTTTAAAAAAGAAATTTGCAGGTAGACTCCCCACCCTCCTTGCTGCAATGGTTCTTGCTCTCCAGGTTAAGAATTAGAAGCAACTTTCACAAATGTGTACTAGGACTAGTCAAGCTTGCCAAGGTAACAGATTGCACAATTTGAGATGAATCTGTGTTGTCTAAGAAGTTCAGAAAGGTTGGAAGACTGGTTTATAAATAAAGAAGTAGAGCCCACGGAGAGCCTGGTTCTTCTCTTTTTGTTTTCAGTGAGAAGGTCCACAGTCTTCCCTCCTCGGGATGCTTTTCCATCACTCTTTGTCTGCACATCCTCTCCAAAGCAGGGTCAATAATGAGTGACCCTGATCTCGGCCTCCCCCCACCCCTGCAAAAGTCCCCTCGCCTTGAGGCAGTGAGTCGCACACCTCTCTGACCAGAAAATTCACCTGGACTCTTGGAAAGTACCCTGGTTTCCAGGCCACAGTCCAGACCCCAGGAGTGGAGCCGGAAAGCTGGTATTTATAGCAAGGGCCCTGGGTGATGCTTGTGATCAGTGGGACACATCGTGGCAAAGGAAGGGTCACATATATCGATTTAGTGTATTTGTGGAGGTCAAGAGGTCTGACCTCTCATCCATGGCCTGAGCCAACTGCTGTATCTCCAAGCTAAGTTCCCCTCCTATGCGCAGTTTTACAGCACCCCTACCCCAAACCTACTCACTTTCCTGCAAGGGCCTGGAGGCCTCCCTCCTCAGTGGAAAGCTGTGGTCATCATACTGGGCTCAGTGCAAGAGGGACGTGAGGAAGGCCACATCCCTTCTTCCCCATGACACCACTTTCATAAGTCCATGTGCATATAACAGAGGAAGGTAGATGACTGGGGGCTAACCGACGGGATTTACAAAATGAGAGAAAATATATTTATGGTGTTATTAGTATACTATTCTCACAATCCAAAGGAAAACAATGACACAACTAAAAAATGAAACATTCTCAAGGAGAAATGCCAGTTTCTAGAATTGGCTCTGTGTCAAGTCTGCCTTTCCCCACTGGAGAGGTGGCCACTGCAAGCCAGTGCCAGGTCCACTCTGCTTTGGAAAGTCTTCTAGGATCCATCCCCGTTGGTGCAACACATAGACCCAAGGCTCCAGTACCACATTCCCCAGAGCCTGAGTTACTCAGGATAGAATGTTCCAAGGGTGTGTGTGGATGCGGTGTGGTGGGTGCTGGAGGGAAGGCTGTGGAGGAAGAGTGGAAGGGAGCCTCCGCGTCTCCCAGGACCATCTCTCCTCAGAATCTCTCCATCTGTGAGAGAACAGCTGTGCTTCTCCTTCTTCCTAGCTCTCCAGTGGGCAGCTCTTAGAATCCCACACATGTCTGTGTATGTGCACAGACTCATACACACAGAGACTCACACGCATATACTTTCTTCCACACACAGCCCTCCTAGGAACGAACAACATATCTCAAGGCACACCTCAGTTTTCAAAGTCCGTTAACCTCAGTTTAACCCTGCCTTCAATGTCAAGCAGAGTACAGTAGTGACCCATGTTCCTCCATCTACTTCAAAACTGTGTCTACACATCCACCATTTTAAAAGAGAGAATTACTAGCAATACTCTTCTTATTGCAACAGAGCTCACTGACCTTTGTAGTCACATTTGACTATAAGAAGACCTCATCAAACCACTGCAAGTACTGACTGCTTTGATATATACTCAGATGAGAGCATTCAGGAGTAGGGGCTTTGCCACCGAACACTGTGAGGAGACATAAGTCCCTTGTCACTAGACACAGCAAGGAGATATGGTTCCTGTCCTCATGAAGCTTATAGTCTACTGAGAAAGACACAAAACAAATGAACAAAAAATATGCATAATTACAACTGCAATTAACACTATGAAGAGAATAAAATGGTTAAATGATAGACAACAAGGGGAAATCATTTAAGATGGTGGTCAGGGAGAGCCTTTTTGATGAGATCCTATGTAAGTATTGACGTGTGGTGGGAAGAATATTTTCTCAAAAGGAGTAGCATGTATAAAGGCTCTGTGGCAGGAAAGGTCTCAGCTTATGGGCATAAAGAAGTCAGAGTGTTTGGTGCAAAGCAGGGAGTTGAAGGTGGGCAAGGGTAGATTATGTAGGGCTTGGGTTATAGGAAGAGTTTGGGTTTTATTCTGAGTGCAGTGGGAATCCACAGAAGGATCTTAAGCAGAGCCGTTAAATAACTGACTTTACATTTAAGAAATATTACGCTAGCTGTTTTGTGGAAAATAGACTAGAGATGGACGAAAAGCCTTATTCAGATCCAACCTGGGTGGGGTAGGCGAGTGGGTGGAGAGTTGTTCTCCCAGCTACAAATATCATATCTGTTCATCTTCTAGCCATGGAAACGGTCTTAGCTTAGAATTAGTGTTAGCTCACAACTCCCTTCCCCCTCCTCCTCCACCACACACTCATCTCCCTCCCTCCTTCTATCCCTCTGTCTCTTTTACACACGCACACGCACACGCACACACACTCCTACCATTTCCCTCCTCTCCTGACTTGTCCGCATTTGGCCTTCGCTTACATTCTTTCAATCATTTTTAGTCCTTGGTAACTCTTATTCCAGTATCTTCAATACAATGTGTGGCTAAGGTTCCAATAAAACGATTAATATTCTAATACTGGAGTAAAGTTGAAGCATTAAAGCATTAAAAATTTTGCTCCTTTCAGAATTCCATTCTTAAAAAAGCTATCATTCTTCATGCACTATATGGCTTATCCTTTATGATTCTAACCTCTTGTGAATAGTTGACACTTCTGAATAGTTTCTCCTCAGTCATCTGCCTGCCCTGTTTAACTAAGCCTACTCACCATAGAACCCAGGATGTAATTTCAGACAGTTTTGTTCAAACCCCTAAGTCCTAAATATCACCTCTGTGACCACAGGCAACCTTCCTGAGCCTTCAGATCTTGGTAACCTAAAGAGAATAATTATTTCCTTATACGTTGTGAGGATAAGTAAAAACTGTATGTAAACTGTCTACCACTACATTGAGTTTTAGGTGGTAATATTACATATGCAAATATCAAGCAAACTTGGTCCCTGAAGGATCAACTTCTCCCATTTTTTTTCTGCTTACCATCTAACCCTCCATGCTGTCATGAATTCAGTCCCTCTTTCAGTCTTCTTTACTTGGCCACTACTGTACTGCTTTTACCTACCCCCTATCTAAGTCTCCTTGTAACCTCGGTGAAAACCCATGAAGGGAAGGAGTTTCATGGCACTTTCCCTCAACAACATATTTACTTATTTAGCCTTTCCTCTTCCCGAGGACTCTGCATGTTAGGGACAGGGTATTGTGTCATAATGCAAGTAATAATGGTGGAGAGAGAGATCAAGAACAAGACCGTTGGTGAGCACCATCTGATTTATGAAGCAGAATAAAATACGCTGGAGGGATTTGGGGTTGCGATCAGATGATTGATTTAGGAAAATCAGATTGGGATGAGTCAAGCAACGCTAAGGCCTCTGTACATCTGCCCAAATCATCCAGTGTTGGCCTGGCTCACTAGCACCTCTGGACTCCCAGTACGAGCTGCTCAACCGCACGGCATATTGCTGGTTCCCAAACTGTCATTTCCTTATCTTTAGAGTAGTCTTTGTACCACTTATCCCTTACCTTCAAGAATGTAAACTTACTTGGATATGAGGGCGTTCTGGCTGCGACATCTGTCACCCCATTGATAGCCAGGGTTGATTCGGCTGATCTGGCTGGCTAGGCAGGTGTCCCCTTCCTCCCTCACCGCTCCATGTGCGTCCCTCCGGAAGCTGCGTGCTCTGTCGAAGAGGAAGACCTTCCCCGATAGAGAAGGACTGTTTTTCGGTCAAGGGTATACGAGTAGCCGCGCTCCCCTGCTAGCACCTCTCAAGAATGTAAACTTACTGAAGAATTTTTGCACGCTGCTACTTCTGGATTACTACATTTCACAAAAGCAGTTTCTGGTTTCTTTTTAAAATAAAATCCACTCAAGGCACCTGGGTGGCTCAGTGTGTTGGCCATCTGACTATGGCTCAGGTCACGATCTCGTGGTTTATGAATTCAAGCCCTGCATCGGGCTCTGTGCTGACAGCTCAGAGCCTGGAGCCTGATTCTGTGTCTCTCTTTCTCTTTGCCCCTCCCCTGCTCACTCTCTGTCTCTCTGTCTCTCAAAAATAAAATAAACATTAAAATCCACTTGACCCCAGAGCTGTAGTAACTGATAATTCAGAAGATAATTCAAGATCTCCCAGTGACCCAGACGTATTATAAACATCATTTTTGTGGTCTACACGCATAAATGCCAGTCCAGAGGGAATCCTGGTTAATAAAATACCAGATTCATTTACTATAATATCAGGTCTAATAATATTAAAAGCATCTAGACATGCCTACCACTAGTAATAAAAGTAAACTGGTTTAGCTCAAGACCATTATTCAAGCAGGAATACTACTACTAATAAATAACATTAATTGCAAATACTTATATAGTCATTGTGTGTGAAATAATCTTTTAAGTGCTTTGTATGCTCACTTATAACACTCCATAAAATAGGTACCATTACTATTTCCATTTTACAGATGAGGAAACTGAGGAAGGTCACAAAGCTAGTGAATGGCAGAATCAGGGCTTCAACTAAAAAGAAATCAGGCTTTAAGTTCTATAACTTCATTATTATGTTTTACTCCTCTCTTCCTTTCATTCAGAAATAGTCATTTTTAATAGAAATATTTGGGAAAATGTTTACTCACAAAGGCATGTTGAGGAATAAATAAATAACCAAATGTTAAACTATATAATATGTCCCAGACCAGTATAAACACGTACTTGCTAAAAATGGAGAATAGATCATAGGCTATTGCTCTTTTACCTAACCATAGCACCAGGTTTCACACAGTCTTTTTTGTCACTGACATGCCTGAGACTGACCCTGTAGATACTGAGCAAGGGCTCTGCTTCTGGAATCTGGACACAAAGACATCTCAGCTCCATGGGCAGCCTGGTAGCATGAGACCATACATGCAAGATGCGCAGGGAAACCCTCCTTGCAGTAGATTCATTTCTGATGAAAAGAAGAGGTGTTCATTCATCTAGCAAATATTTACTGACCATGTATTATCTATGGCAGGCATTGTTTTTTGGTCTTGGGATTCCAGAGTAAACAATACAGACAAAAACCCTTCAAGAAGTTGATATTCTAGTGGTGGACAAA